TGCTCTTTGAAATATATAATAAATTTTCTTATGGGGCCTTAGTTAATGTACTGGGAGTAGAACATTGAGGAAAAGAAAATTCGAATTCGTACATAAAGAGTTTTTGCACACTAAATCCAACAAGATTCGAAAACTTTCTCAGAAATAGCTAAAATTCATTTTATCTCGAAAAGTTTTTAATGCACTATTTTATAAAGAGGATCACAACCAACCACAAGTGTAGCAATTAAGCTGACTGAGCGTTCAAAAAGGGGAGTTTATATATATATATAAACTAATCCAGCACGACTTCAGCAATTTTCTTGACAGTAAATAGAATCTTAAATAGATAGCCATTTTATAATGAAATATTTTTTCCGCCTTTTCATACAAAGGATAATTTCCAATAACAGAATAGCTATCACGTTGATTTGGTGTTTGAATCAATAATTTGATCGAAATATAATAAAAACACACACAAGTCATACAAAAAAAATTGTAAGTTAATTCCTACTTAGATCAACAAAGAAAAATTTTATTTTAGCTACTTTTTATTAAGTAGTTACAATTAATATAAATATGTATATACATATGACAGAATCACAACATTAGGTGGTAATTAATTTTTATTCATTATCATTAAAGTATCGTATTGTCATTCAAAACAATCGTGTATATAAAATTTCAGTTCAACTGAATGCACGCGAGAAAATTTTTTTTTAAAGTTTTGACACAAGTCGCCAAAATGGTCGCTAAATCGCCAACGTGGCTGTATTTGTAATTTTTTTAAATAATTAGTTTTATATCATTTAATTTTTATTAATTGTAATTAAATTATTGTGTTGTCATCCAAAATAATCATGTATATAAAATTTCAGCTCAATTGAGTGCTTTAAAATGAATTTTATTAAAGATTGAAAATTCCACCAGGATAAATAAATAAATAAACAAATAAATAAATATATAGAGAGTGTGACCTAATAATAAGAATTGAAAAATATCATCATCTTAATACAATTTTTCTACTCAGCAAACTTTTGTAACTCAAAATTAGCTTAAATTTGTATGAAATTGAAAAAGAAAAGGCATTGTTTTTTTGGACCAATGCGTTTCAGTACATCAACCAGGCTTGAAATTTGACTCAAATTAATTTATGTTTTTTGCCCCCCCCCCACAGTTTGCCCCCACTGTATCAGAATAAATTTCATGGAGTTAGGCATACATAATACATATTCACAAACGATTAAAAGCTACAATCCTCGAGTTTTATTTAATACATAAGAATAATTTATTCATTTAAAATTAAATCTCGCATCATGACAATCTTATTTTGTCATATATAAATTTTCAGCACTGCGAAGAAGACCGGCAGAATATTTAAAACAGCATAAAGAACGAAGAAGTGAAAAGAACATCATTTGAGTCAGAGACAATTAATTTAAGTTGTGGACCGCCCTTGACAGTTGATGGATAGTTGCGAATGAAACGTGGTTTAATGGATAGTTGAAGTAATCTCATGATTTAATTTGTTAGTACTTCATCATGAAACATCGTTGACATTATCACTATCACGATCATCCGGATAATTTGACATGAACTATAAAAAATGAGTATTTTTTTTAAATTTGATACAAATTAATGTAGTTAGGAAATTCAACAATGTGTTTTAAGAAATTCCTCTACTCCAGGATTATTGTTATTTTAAAGATAATGTGTGTGCACAAAATTTCTCGAAAATTATAACTTTTACCAGAAATTTTTTTATATATATTTAAGACGAATCGTGCCGGTAGTAGAAAATAGGATAATAATAAAGTAGTTTATAATCATGAATGTAGGAAGGTTGGAACGTCTGCTTTTACAATTTTTGTTCTTCATTTTATCAGTTAGATATTTCTTGTTCTATTACTTTTGTATTTTACGACGGAAATACTGTTATGTAGATCGGGGTTCGAGGATTTTATGCTAACAGTCTCAAAGAACAAGACAGTTCTTAAGAATAATTTTTTTTGTAGAAAAACAGTCCTTGTGTGTATGAAACAGGCTACAGCACTAGAATCCGCTTGATAAATCCCAGAAGGCCTTCACACCTTCTAGAGCCCTCAGACACAGCTATCAACGTCTAAAAATACAAATACGTAATGTTTAAAATTATTCGCAAGCACTGGCTCGAAAGTAGCAACTAATCGCTAGTCGACTCTGCAACGGTCAAAGCACTAATAACTCCTCTTCAGGGAGCTGCTCCTATTTATAGTCTGAACGGATCTTTCGCAAAGTATCACGGCCGCGTTAGCCGAGTGGTCAAGGTATTGGATCGTGGCTGGCCTTATCACGAGTTCGAGTCCAGTACTACAGAAGACTTGTCGTGTAGGGGAGCGATGCACGTTAAATCTGTCGAGAGCTCAAACATCCTTCCATTGATGTGGTGTGGTAATTAGGAAAGGGAGTGCCAGCTCAGGTTTCATCCACGTCACTTGACCGCGGTTCAAAATTACGTGGTACTTCGCTAAAAGCCCTTGTGTACCTGAACAATGCGACGTTAATATTCACTGACACTGACTGATTCACGAAGTATATCCGCTTTCGGCACAGATTGTGATATTAGCAGATTTCTCCAGTGATTCCCAGAATGCATCCCTTATGGTCACCAACTCGCCATAATGTTCGCCAAAAATGTGTGATGCCAAGTTTCCATTGAATCACCATTATAATGGAAGGCACGGCGCTCTCCCGAATATTACAATTTCACAAAAGTAAATACGACAGAAAGTAATGTTAACGTATTACACATCCAGATATAAATTATTTACACTACTTTAAGCATTCATTACATAAAATTCACAACAATACATTACTTTCCCGAAATTGCTTATGCCCTTAATCCAAAGAGCTGAAGTGAACAGTATTTCCCCAATACATAACGGTGGTCTTGGAAGTAGTCGAAAGCGGAAATGCCTTGAATGGCACAGCTTTTTAGAGAGGATTACCGCCAAAAACTACTGCGACAATTGCGTCTATTTAGATGAAAGTCTGTAATTTCGAGCTTTAAGAATGAATATTTTAAAGTGAAAAATGTATGATGCAAGTTAATTAGACTAGGAAATTCTAAAACTCACACAACTCTACTACTTTATGTTTAGATTGTACAATTATTCTATTTATTCTTTAAGTGAACCATGCGGTTTTATTTACTTCAAGTTGAATCTCTCGTACTGAGTCTTTTGACTAAGTCTTTAAAATAAAAGTTGCGTGTTTAGTTCTCAATATGTCTTGAATCAATTAGCCAGTTCTATTCGATCTGTATTACATGTATAAAGTCCATAACTCTATGTTTAAACTCTAAATCAAATAATTTCAGAATATATTTGAAAAAAAAGCTTGAAAAATAAAGTAACAGTAGTGCCAGATCATGAGTACGACGTTACAATTAATTATCTGAAGCTAAAATTTAAAGCAAGCTAAACTATTTTCATAAAAACTTTTCATTGCATATTGTATTATTACATATTATGGATGATAAATGGAAAAAGACAGATTTTATAGCTGTAATTTCTAATTAATAGCAAAAATTTTAAAATGTGGCGCTTTATAATATAAAGTAAATAAAAAAAATTCTATGCATGTTTTTACTGTGAGTTTTTTGTTTATTAAAAATACTCAAAATTGCATAAAAAATGCATAATTGAATAAAAAATGCACAATCTTGCATAATTGCATAAAAAATGTATAATCTTGCATAATTGCATAAAAAATTGCATAATCTTGCATAATTGCATAAAAATTGCATAATCTTGCATAAAAAATTATCATTTGCATTATTTTGTGGGAAGAGGTAAGTTAGTTTTAGGAAAATATCTTGAGGACAGGATTCCAAATGAAAAAGGAGCCACGGTAGCCTAACGGTTTCCGGCGTGCCATGTGTGAGTTCGAACCCTAGTGCCTCTGAAGACCCGCCGCGTAGAGAGGCTGATACCCGTTAAATCTATCGTGGGTCAGAGCTCTCTCGCTGGCGTGTTATGGTAATTTAGGGAAGGGTGAGAGTGAGTGAATGTGGGTGTTTTCTGGCGCAAGAGCCAAATCTGGCTATACTGCACCAAACATTCCCGTCTACAGCGAAGCGTGGACCAAAAGGAACGCAAAGGTTTCCCCAGGATACCATTTTCCTCCTTACCGGACTCCGCACACGGCAAACATGCGGGTTGCCAAACCAACGGTGTTAGTCGAAAACACAAATAAAGCAACAAAACAAAATATTTAAATAAATTGAAGGAAGAGAAACTTAATCAACGCAATACAAAATGTGAACCAAAATATATTATTAATAATAAATTGTTATAGCTGTCCAATAAAGAACAAATTAATCAATAATCGTATTTATGATTATTTTAAAATATTTGTCTATGATCTAGATGGGAAAAGAAGAAAAGACGAAACAGAATGACAAAAGAAAGAGGGTCGAAATCAGAGAAGGATCACTAGGGTACCCCGTGTTCGTGAAGCCCGTGTTTACCAAAGACAGTAAACCCCTTGAGAAAAGAAAAAGATCATTAGAGCACCTCGGGATTGTGATACCCGTACTCACCTAAAGAAGGTGAACCCCCTTAGGGGTTTAGGGAAGGGGATGCCCCCAGCTTAGGTATCATTCTCATCCCTTGATCGTGGCTCAAAATTACGAGGTTCGTAAATAATATCCTTCATGTTACATCACAATGAAACGTTAATAAACTTTAAATAAATATAAAAAAATATTTAAGTCAATTCCTACTTGGTCACCAAAGAATTATTTTATTTTAGTTTCTTTTTATTAAATAGTTACAGTTAATATAAATATGTATATACATATGACAGGATAACAATATTAAGTGGCAAAATAGAAAGCTATTTTCCTTGCAATTTTCCATTTTTCTCTCTATATTTGGTGTTGGACTATTTTTGTTTGTTACTATTTATCCATTAATCATATTTAAATATTCTAATGAAATAGTACAGTAAAAAAGAAATCCCATCCTCAGAAATAATGCCATCCCAGGTGGGATTCGAACCCACGACCTTTGGATTAAAAGCCAAAGGCGCTATCCGTTGCGCTACAGAGACACAACGAACGATTTTCCTTTCTAAATAAGCTTTTGGACTATTATTTTTGTTTGTTTATTTTTTATTCATTTTTTTATTTAAATGAATGAATTAATATTTGAAAAAAACTGTATTAACATCAAGAGCCATTCATTACAAATTTTTTAAAATGTATTTGAACTTGAATGGATGAATAGATGGTATGTTTTATTAATGATTGAAAATTTGAACAAGATATATACATATATACTAGAGGACCCGACAGACGTTGTCCTGTACAAACATCTTAAATTCAAAATAAAAGATTTTTGAATATTCGATACTGCGATCGTAGCGCAGTCTGCCGGATCCAATGTAAAACATTCCAAGATCAACAATTTATAAATAAATAAATAATTAAATAAACATTTCTAAACCGAATTATAAATCTAAATCATTCTCGAGTCCACTGGAACAGAAAAAAAATTTCATCGAAATCGGCCCAGCCGTTTAGGAGTTCAGTTTCATACACACGCACAGAAGAATTATATATATAAAGATTAGTTGAGAAAAGATATTAATTAAAAACGCTAAAAAGCGTGAATCGTCTGCATTTTCGTAACAATAAAGACCAGGTTTGGCCAGTTTGGCTTAAAATCAATTTTCGACGCCAACTTACGTCTTTTCCAATTCCTACTATTAGCTCATATTTTATTTGTTTGTTTGTTTATTTATTTCTCTTGGTGGAATTTTCAATCGTTAATAAAATACATTTTAAAGCCCTCAATTGAGCTGATATGTAATGTACATGATTATTTTGGATGACAATACAATAATTTAATTATAATTAATAAAAATTAATTGATTATAACTAATTATTTAAAAAATTACAAATACAGCCACGTTGGCGACCCTTTTGGCGACTTATGTCAAAATTTGAAAAGGTTTTTTTCTCACGTTTTAAGGCATTCAGTTGAACTGAAATTTTATACACACGGTTGTTTTGGATGACAATACCATACTTTCATAATTAATAAAAATGAATTACCACTTAATGTTGTGATTCTGTCATATGTATATACATATTTATATTAATTGCAACTATTTAATAAAAAGTAGCTAAAATAAATTTTTTCTTGGTTGATCTAAGTAGGAATTGATTAAATTTTTTTTATCTTACTTGTTTATAACACTAACGTTGTTACAACAATGCAGGTGAATGTTGAATTGTATTTTTTGAATGTTTTTAATTAATATCTTTTTAACTTTAATTGCGCGCGATATCGGACCGAATCGTGAATCTAAACCATTCTCAAATTTACTTGAACGCACACAAAAAATTTCATCGAAATCGGTCCAGCCGTTTAGGAGGAGTTTAGTGACATACACACTCACAGAAGATTTTTATATATAAAGATATATATATATATATATAGGAAGAGATTGAACTAATAGTAGGAATTGAAAAAAAGAAGTAAAAGCTTTTCTACGACTTTAAAGAATGCTGTAAAAAATTTTAACTTTAAAAACTATTTTCAAAATCTACAATTTCTATCAAAGGACGTAATTTCTCGATTTCTAGAAGTTATTTGAAAATGAAGCTAACTATTTTAAAAATTATTCGAAAATCTCTATTTAATTTAAAATTAATATGCTTATAAATAAATTTTGATTCCTTAAAAATTCATTGAAAATGATTTGTATGGAATGAAGCAACGATTATGTCCACTAATCATTTGCTTTTCGAAGACAGAAAATTAATTCATGATAGTTTAATTTACTAGTAGCAACAAAGTATATATAAATAAAGAAAATTCCTCATGCTTCATATTAATTATATTTGTATCAAAATAAAACAAAATTTTAATGAGTAATAAGTCAAAAATGTTCTTTTTCCAGTCGCATAGTTTAAATTTCCTCTTGTCTTAATTAAAATTCGATCCAAATAAGGAACTCAATTGATATAGTATATCGATTTTTATGTCCTTTCACGTTAGATTAAGCACTGAAGATACTTTTCGCTAACTGAATATATTCTGGAAAATTTTGAGATCTTTCTTTGAAGCCTGCCAGAATTTGATGGATAACACTCTCGGAAAAAAATTCTGTTGTAAAGTTTTTGTTAGTTAAAAATGATTTATTACCGTCTATTATCATCTACGTCTTGTACTGTTTTATTTTAGAGGCATTTTTACGTCAACTGTATGAAATGATTAGCATTAATTTACATTATTATATATACAAGGTAATTATAATTAAGTTCCGCACTTTTAAAATGCTGTAAAAAGAAAAGAGAATCACTGGTTAGAATAACTTCAAATTTAAACTGGGTATTCTTGAAAACGGGGGGAAGTATGGCATAAGAAAAAATTTCCCTTAGTGTATCAATAGACAGCGCTGTTAGCAGAATAACAAAAATGGATTCGGTTACAAGTGGCGTTTTGAGTTGCATTGCGACGGCTTAGGTATAAGTTGAACCACACACGGGGTTAGGTATAAGTTTAGATAAGAAAAACCAACTGTACTGTTCAATGTGCATGATTGTTTTAGTTTTTGAAGGAAAAAACAGCCAAGTCATTCAACAGTTGTTGCACTGTAAGGGATGAATAGTTGTGTGAACACTCTTAGAGTGAACAGTTGTTGCAGTGTTAGGCTCATCCACCACATTGAATGGGAAAATTCCGTTTTCAATTGTCTTCTTTCTGAACCAACTCGCTCTCTTCACTTAATTCTTTGTGCGCAATGTAAATTCTACAGAAAACTTGTAGATTTTCAGTCTATTCAGTACAATCTTGAAGACAGTGACATTCACTTTTCTTACATTCAGAGAGCCATAGTGGAAATCTCGGCAATGATAGGGTGGACCAGTGGGCCAAAGAAGCAACCTGCCAAGATATGAATTTTTCGATGTCTGTGCCGTTGTCCCACTGGAAGTATTTAGCTTGGAAAAGAACTGTTTCCGCCTGGTACTCTGAATTCTTGGCTTCACCTAAAGCTTTGTGGACTAAAAAGTTTTTTCCGACCATTTATCAACAGCTAAAATGTAAGAAATTTGTTACTGATTTTAAGTTATCCTATATTTTTACAGGACAAGGAAATTTTAAGAGCTGTTTATCTAGGTTTAATTTAATTGGTAATGATATTTGTTCTTGTTGTCTGGATGCTGAAATTGCGGAACATGTCTTGCTGCATTGTAACCGATATTTTTGTAAAAGAGAAATTTTTTAAAAGAAGTTGAAACGCTTAGGTATTTCCTGGCCACCTGTTTTGTCTTTGTTAGTCCAATGTACTGAAAGCCTTAATGCCTTAAGAAAATTTGTTTACTGTATATATTTTTAAAGTTTTATAGAGGTACCTCCATTTCTTTATATTTATGTATTTAATCTCTTCCTTTTATTTTATATTTGTCTTTTAAATGTATTTTTAATTTTGTTTTAAATTTTATAATGATGTTGCCACTTACGTCTGTAAGTCTCATGTTATGCAATGTAGTGGAAAAGGAGTTTTGCAAATAAATGTATTTTAAAAAAAATTTGTCTTCTTGGCCAAACACCGCATAAAAAACAAATTTTTTTTCTTATGCACTCCATGCCGTTTTCTTTTTCTTTAAGTATATTCAGCTCAAATTCGAAGTTATTTCTAGCAGTAGTTATTATTATTATTTTTTTTGCAGCATTTTAAAAGTGGAACTTTAATTATCATCACCCTGTATGCGAAAGACTTCTATGTTTCTTTCAAAACATATTTTTATAAAAACTTACCTGAAAACTTCGAAGTAACTACAAAATGGAAACAATAAAAACAACATTTTTTTAAAAATAATTTGTTAGAAGAAACATGCAAAGCGAACGAAAAAAAACTCTTTATTATAGGAAATTAAAATCGCAATGGAAAAATTAATTATGTTACGCAATAAAAAACATGAATATCGAAATCAGTACTTAACTCGATCTTAATAAAACAAAAATTAAGAATCAAATAAAAATGTAATCTCAATAAAAAAGAATTCTTTCATAAAAACATATAGTTAAGTCCCCAATCCATATATCTTAAACGTCTCCGTCAAAAAAGGAAGAAGAAAAAAACTAGAGAAAAAGAAAAATTTTTCTCTCTTTAAGGAGTCTTTAAACATCAAAAACCAAGTCGCATAAATCTAAAAAACTTGCCAGAAATCTAACTTCCCAAAATAATCACCGTTTCTCTCTTCTTATCTAAAATAATACTTAAAGTGGAAAGGAAACCCCGACCAATAGTAATAAAAAATATTCCCCCCGACCGACATTATGTAAGAACGATATGGCAACGAGAAGGAAAATCTAAATTTCGCGCACTTTTGATGTATGTACTCTCATTTTGCTTTTATGGTGATCTTTCTAATTTCGGCGCTATGAGTATAAATTTCATCCCCTATTTATGTTAATGACGCTGTTTCAGTCGGGATTTTTACGACGTGGTTCAAGAAAATAATAATAATGACCGTTTGGGGGTAGAATTCGGCACCTGTGCTGCTATTAAATTCGAATGAAGTGGTTGATAAAATGGCGGCGGCTTTGGAACTCAAATCCGCTTTTTGGAATGATGATCGCCATTTGTGTCCATTTGGTTTTGTTTTATTGTTTGGAGGTGGTGGCAAAAAGTGGTGGAAAAGGAGAGTTGTAGATGAAATTGTTAGAAGATTTATAGAGGATTGGGGTAGAGGGGAGATTTTAACATGGAGTACACATGCTTATGGATTTGTTTGAAATTTTATAATTAAAAAGAGGACGTATATGCTTTAAAATTATTAAAAATCTGTCAATTCTTTTAAAAGAATGTTCAATCCAGTTAAAAAAAGGCAGCATTCGAAATTATATATTATTTTAAGTATCAGAAAATTTTTTTTGCAAAATATTTTTTCAACAAGTTTGTGACAAATCTATACGGAACTTTATCACTAACCTTCTGAGTCGTCTTTTTTAGGGAAATTTAATTCCCTACCTATTTCCAATCAGCTCCAAAGAGAGGACAGGATTCCTTGTTATATGCAGATTAGATAAAGTATT